GTATAAACATGCATGTATTAATACATATTTTAAGGATTTATGAATTTTATCCAATAATCTTTCAATGTGTTTGAATTATTTTCAGATTTTTATTAACCCTCTGTGCCTCTTTGGGGTCTCTTGGTGGCTCTTTGGGGTCCCTTTGGTTCTTTGGGGTCTCTTGGTGGCTCTTTGGGGTCCCTTTGGGTCTTTTTCTGCTTCTCAGAGGGATTTTCCCAGATTTCAGAAGCTCGGGGGAGCAGCAGTTTAACACATCAGACCCACAGATTCCTTCCAAATGAATCTAAAGGTCAAACCCTGGCTAGCTTCTGTCCGACTCTCTCATCTCTGGCCTCCAAACATTCCCAAAAACACTCAAATCCCGCATCCCGAACCGGGCCAGCCCAGATGGAAAAGCCGTGGAGCCGAGGACAATCGCCGCTGTGTTCAGGGGGACGAATCAGAAACAGCCGAGATGCTGGTCACCAGCCAATGACGGAGAGGCAGGCGGCCCCACCCAGAAAAACCTCCACAAGCCTCTGGCTGCCACAGAAATGATTCACGGAGATCCAGAAGGATGAATCACAGGCCGTAAACTGGGATGAATCTGAGCCCAGATGCTCTCCATTACCTGTGCTCTGGCTCTGATTTATGGCCGCCTCCTGAAAGGCCGGTGAAAGCTCCTCTCCACGGCAAAGAGCAGAAAACGAGCAGCCTCACCCTCCTGGTTTTCCTGTTCTGATGCAGGATGCTGCATTTCTGCCTCTCTGTACCAGGATCCTTCTTTTCCTTTGACCTCTTGGCCTCATAGCAGACGCTATCAGACACTACTGTTTAAAATCTAAAGGAAAATGCTTTTAGATGTATTATCCAAACGGGCCAATGGGAGCAGGGCATGCTGTCCCATGTGAACTGAGAAAGGAGAGGATACTGTTTAGGATCCATTTAAATGGGGAGGAACATCTGTGTGAGGAATTCTTTAGAAAATCACTGAAAAACCATCTTTTTTAAGTCTTTAGATTAGGAAAATAATTGAAAAATCAACTTTTTAGCTCTTTAGATGAAGGAAAATTTATATATTATAATCATCATTCACTCCTAATAAAGCTTGAAATATGTGACATGAATAGTATTGTGTTTGTTCTTGTTTTCTTCAACTATTTGACTGCATATTTTAAAGAGTAGTTAAACAGTCTTAAGTGAGGCCCACTCCTCCAAGAACTCTGATTTACGTCACATTTTTCTGCAGAGCAACAGTGAAAATGAGCTTTTTAAGTGACTTTATTGCAGAGAAACCCTGCAGCCGAGTGGAAGGCCTTCAAAGAGGCTGAATGCACTGCGTTCAGGTCCATTTTTCAGCTCCAGGGTTGCAGTCACGCCCCGTTTAAAGCAGCCGATTCCCAGACTTTTGGCTGTGGATGGAGCCTGTGTGGTTCTGGAAAGGTCCCGAGGCCACTCTGCCAGGACGGGCTGCTGTTGTGGCCCTAATGGAGTCCCATTCATCAGCCGGGCCGCCTCATGAAGCCTGACAGTGTGAAAGGGACTGCCCGAAAATAAACCCTCCTCCCGTCCAGATAATGGCTCCGCGGACATTCCAACTTCAGGAGATTAAACCCATTACAGCAATTAGCTCCAAAATGTGAGATACACAGCACAATAAGTCATCTATGAACCCAAAGAGGAGACGCAGGACTGAGAAAACAGACTCAAATCCGCCCGAAAACACAGAGAAACGCACAGACCAAACAGCCCTAGTGGACTTATTAAGCAGGAAAATCCTTTTTTTAACTTAAAGAACAACAAACATCAGGGAAAGATAAAAATCTGCTGATCATAATAAAGCTGAATCTGCCACTTCTTTTCGGTGTTTCCTCACTAAAATCCCAGAAATGCCCCTGAAAACAGGATTTAAAACACATTTCTTAAATTTCTTTTGCTGTTTTTGGTTGTGTTGTTGTTTAATGTGGATGAGTCTGATGTCAGACACGTGGAAAAATGTCCGTAAATGTCAGTAAATCGGGGATCAGTTTGCAGAGGAGAGCTGGAAAACGAAGAGCTCTAAAACTCACTTGAATGCCGGTGGGAAAGATATACGAGCCTTTAAGCATGTGGTTTTTGTCATAAAGTTGAAAAGAATCCACTCTCCTAGCCAGATTTTAAACTTTGCAATGTGTAAAATGTAAAAAACTCCAAACATGTGACTTTTCTTAATCACAGCATACAAATTATCTGAAGGTTTTGAAAGTGTTTATTGTCACACCAAGTGATTCAAATTCTTATAGAAATGGATAAAATCGTGATCTGTCTGCACAAAAAGCCCCCAGCAGGACATGCGACTCCCTTTTATTACCAGCGAATGGATTATTTATCAAAGGCTGCAGGAGCCTGGAGGGAAGAGAGTCTGAGACATGGGCCTCATCAGTGACATTTAAACCCAAAAAGCTGCACGAAACTTCACGGAAACGAAGAGAAACTCACAGAGAGATGATTCAGAGTTTTTTTCTGGCCGTTTTGGGACCCGAAGCCTGTTTTTACGGCGTCATACACACCAGATTTAGCGGAAAAATGAACCCACATATGCAGAAAAAGTCAGGAAAGCAGAGCTTTAAGAGCTGTTGGCTGACCGGAGGCTCACAGCGCCCCCTGCTGGCCACCGCGGGAACGCCCAGCCCCTCACACCTGGTTTCAATCCTCCTGCCTCTGAAACAATGCACAAAGAGGGCTGTTAGGCCCAGAGGGAGGAGGCTTAAAGGAGGGCGGGATGCTCGGAGAGTGTCAGGACGAGCTCAAAACATAACTCGGGCGCACAGATATTGGAAAAAATTAGGATTTTAATAAAACAAGGACGCACTCGTAGGGAGTGGAAGGAAAGGCGAAAAGTACTAAATAATAATCACTCAAATCGAAGATGCAAAAGACTAATAAAGTACCAAATAATACTCAAAATGACGCTGAAAAAAACTAATAAATACACAATAAGACATGAAGGGAACCCCCAGTGAACACAATCAGGGATTAGGGGAAACAATCAGACAGGTGACCTGAAACGAGGGGATGTACCTTTCAAAATAAAACAGGAAATGACAAGACCAAGACATGACAAAACACCAATAAATCCCCCAGGCGTGACAGAGAGGAAGCGCCGCATTACAGGACCGGACGGCCTCATGAATTACAGGGAAACTGGAGCTAATCTGGAGCTAACGAGGTTAGCTGATCGAATCAGGGCCCTAGTTTACCGGCATGACGGACAGACGGAAGCTGTGGGCCACCAACAGTCTGTCCACTTCTGCCTGTTTCACTCGGTTTATCATGAGCAAACTGCTTGGATTCTTTCATTTTAATTACATTAAAGTGTATTTAGATAAAGCTACAAAACAATTAAGATGATCACATGGTTCTTTGTATCTTTGGTCAGAAAATAAGCAGCTTTTAAACTCTCTTAAACGCCTCCCGACTCTAATAAAATCCTGATTTGCTATTATGACCACGACCCCATGTGAAACTTTGTGTTCACCTGCTCTGTGTGTATCTTATTGTCTTCAAACGGCTCTGTGTGTAACTTTTAAACACAAACATGAACGTTTTTCCCAGATTTTCACCTCCAGCCTCTCAGATTTGGCCACTTCCTGTTTTAAAAAAGTTTCTTTAACACGTGCACGTACATCATCTGACGTGCACTCACCAGTTTATGAAGTCACCTGAGATTCTGACTTCTCTCAGCATCATCCTCCTCAGTTTCAGCCCCGTGGTGCAATCCACCTTAAATAATTCTGGGGGTTTTTTTGTTCTCCAAAGGGTTCAAGAAAAGCATTTAAATTAATTTAACGATGCCTTTTATGAGTGATTAAATCACAATTGAAAGGACTTTTCCCCTTTAACCTTGCACTAACTATGATTAACATAGTATTTAAATACTTTTAAAGTTTCTTTAGGTGCTTTAAAGTATTCAGTTTGACTTTTAAATAGTTTTAGAACATTTCTAGACTGCAGGAAGAGATGCAAAGGACCAGTTTTAATAAGAAATATGGTGTCTTTGTGGTGGATTGTGATCAATAAACTGCTTTTTATAGCGCAGGATATTAAGATGAGTCAATATTCCTGATGTGAAACGATGTAAAGGTCAGCAAGTCAGTTTAAAATGTTGATTTGTGTTCTTTTATTGACTAAAGAGGTCGATTAGGACATTTTTTAAAGGCATTTTTTTCTCGAGTTTTCCTCCCAAACTGGCTCTGAGCTGTTTAAGCCTGAGAAGAGCTGAGTAAACACCCCAGAATAGCCCGGAGTGAAGAGTAAATTAGAAGGAAAGCTGTAAAATAATAACTGACTGGTGACAGGTTACAAACGAGCTGAGGGTCTGGGATCAGACGTCCCCTTTGGCAGCGCCCGGCGAGCCGAGGCAGCTTTTGTCTGCACACGTCTGTGGAAAACATTCCCCAAAGAGTCTGGACGGGGGCTTCAGATCCCCCTCCAGGATTAGTCCGGGGCCTGGTGGGGCCTGCCAGGGTGCCAGCAGGCTGTACCAGGACAAAGCGGCCAAGATGGAGCTGGGCTCCACACAGAAAGGCCTTTATTCAACACGTTTTTGCCCTCAAACTGCAGCCAGTCTGAGAGGAGCTGCAGAACCTGGAGGCTCTGGGGGTAAATGAGAGGTTTAAAAACCTAGAAAAAGCCGGAAAATCTGAAACTAAACCTGAGAAATGGTAACAGAGAACTTCTCTGTGATGTTCCTGCCCATCGATCAGGAACCCGGGAGCAGCAAAGGCCTTTAAAACAGCGGCAGCTTCCTCCAAAAACACCTGATCAGACCAGCCATTTACATCTAGACAGTTGATTTAAGCCTTTATCTGAGTTTTTAGAAGCTGTAAAACATATTTTTGCTCATGATGAGCTCATTTATTCCCACAGTGTAACTCCTGACGCCTGAAAACTCAGACATCCCAGCTTCTGAAGGGCATTTTAAAGCAACACGCACGCGTTTAACTCTGCAGAATCCCAGGCGGCCCCAATAATCTGCCCCGTGCACGTCAGCCGATGCGCGTGCACGTGTTAAAGGAGCCTTTCCGAACAGGAAGTGAGCTCATCTGAGAGGCTGGAGGTGGAAATAAGTGGAAATCAGTGAAAAACGCAGACGTTTTTGTTCATTTTGCGCGTTTGGATAAAAAATCTGCATGCTCAGGGGTTCAAACACACATGTGGAGTCAAACCTAAAGTCCGTTTTTATCCCCATAGAGGAGAATCTGTGAAGTCCAGCTGCAGGAAAATTGCACTTTTTGAACAACCAAGGCTGATAAACGTCACACAGAGGTTTGAATGGATCTTTGTTTCAGGGACATTTTTAGATTTTAAAACACCATCAGCTGCTTTTAGGCTATCTATCTATCTATCTATCTATCTATCTATCTATCTATCTATCTA